GCCCTAACAGACAACTTGTCTTCGCGACTAGCGACAATATCGTCGTACCCGTGAAGAGCGTAATGACCGAGACGCGGTAGTTTGAAAATCGGCCGGCGACTGAAACTGGTAGAACGGCGACGCTTCGTCAATGATGTGGATGAGCGTGACCGGGATGCGGATCGACGGCCACTCGGGGCTGATGAGGGGCACGTCCTGCATCTGGCGCAGTCCCGTCTTGGAGTTGGTGAGGTTCACGCCGAGCCTAGTCCATCATCGGATTACATAATAAAAGAAAACATGTCGCAGGAGACCGGAACGAGCCCTCGCGGATGTCGCCGTGGTGCCGCGTGTTGGCGGCGCGAAGCACGAGCACGCGCTGGCCGTGGATCGTCGTGATCGCAATGTGCTTGGAGAAATGAATGTGGGCGCGGGGCCGCGCAAACTTGGACCACGCAATGCCTACACGTATCTCTAAAAATCAACTTGATACGATAGGAATCGGACAGGACCTGTAAAAATGGTCGTAAAGATGAGCCCAAAGGACGACTCGAGGACAACGAAAAAGTTGTTGATCTTCGAGTCGGGCTGCGGCCCAATGACCCCATACCCGATCGTCGCGAGCGTGTGCGCGCTTAGGTACAAGCAGACTTCAAACGGCGAGTTGGCCGCTGCAATGCTCGGGGTGACCAGGACGCCGTCAAACTACAACCAAAGTCAACATCAACGATACAGTGTCGTCGTCGTCGTACGTCAATGAGGTACAGAGCTGCAAACGCCACGTTCATGACGACAAAGCCAACGACGATGAGCGCGATGATGCGCGGCCACTTCATGTGCAGCGCGCTGTAGTAGAAGCTCTGGAACGAGTACGAGAAAGGCACGTGTTGCGGCGAGATGCGGAGGAAGCGCGGCGTGTTGGGGATCTCGACCGAGTGCACGCTGGACGCGTCTGAAAAATCGAGATCTTTCTCGTCGTCGTCGTCACCGTCATCGTCGTCGTCATGCTCCTCGACGTGGCTGTTGGTCGTCGTGTGGGCCCAGAGAAGACCAGACGTCGAGTCGGTCGACGCCATCGTATCGCCTGCAACTTGGTGCTGGAGCAGCTGCCATTGCTCGACGGGCATGGACGCACCATGGTGCGACGGCTGCCGACGCCTCGTTTTGGTCACACGCTGCGTCCCGACGTCGCGCTGCAAGAGCGGCTCGAACAGCGGCTCCATGTCCGTGGGCCGAAGCGGTTGCCGCAGCCGGCGCGAGCTTCGCTTGTGCGACGACGACGCCCACGCCATGCGCGGCGTCGGGCTCAGCACCGACCCCGTATGATGCGGATGCGGAGGGTGAGTGTGCTTGGCGCTTCTCATCGCCGTTGGCGTCGGCACGGGCGACGGGCGAGGCGTGTACTGCGCCGCGTACGCGTCGTCGATCGGCGCCGAGTGCACTTTGCTGAGCTCGTCAAAGTCGATGACGACCGCGTCGTCGGAAAAGTGCAGCATTTCGCCAAAGCGGAAGCCCCACTGCAGCATCTCGACCGAGTAGATTTGGCGTTCCATGACGGTATCCTGGAGCGTCGAGTCGACGCCCGTCATGCCGACCTGCAGCACAAACTCGGACGACGCTAGCGTCGACTGCGTCAAGCCGAAGAGCGGACTGTCCTCGTCAATCACGTGCACGAGCGCGAGGACCATGCGAAACGTAATGATGTTGGACTGCAGCAGCGGCAGCTTGTAGTAGCGGAGCCGCGGCGGCCCACTCGCGTCGTCCTTCTCGATGCGGATGAGCGTGAACGAGAACGACGCGTCCATGATGACGTCGCGGGCCACGTCTTGGGACTGCGTCGCGTTCGCGACGCGCACGACGAGCGCGAGTCGCTCGGTACCGTACGGGTGCACGACGGCCACTTGGCTAAAGGCGATCTTGCCCTTCGGCTTGGCAAACTTCGCAAACATGAGGCCCGTGAGCGCGGCGATCGAGAGGAGTGAGATGAACGCTTCGGCGATCGCGACGTAGTTGGCGCAGCGCTCGATCGGAAAGAGGATGCCAAACCCGATCGTCGAGAACGTCGTGTACGAGAGGTTAAAGTCGTCCGAGAAGGTCGCTGCGTTGCCGCACACGTAGTACAAGAGCACGCCAAAGACGAAGATGCTCGCAAAGTACATGGCCGCGAGCGCCGGCATGAGCGAGACCCAGCTCAAGTTCAGAAGGATGTAGATCCCGTCCTTGTACGCGCGGCGCGGGTTCGCAATCGTCTTGAGCCGCGGAAAGAACTCGCCGCTCGCGCGGATCGCCGACGATGAAAAGAAAGGCGCGCCGGCCTCTTCGTGGACGACGACGCCGGGCCAGTCGTGCGCCCATGCGTGGTGCAGCGACGCGTCAGCCGCCGACGCCTTGGCCGCGCCGTTCGTGCGCTGGAACCGCTTCTTGGATGGCATCTCCGAGGATGAGGCCAGTCGTCGCCAAGTTCCACTGCCACCGCGTCGGCCAATGAAAACGGCCAGTGCAACCGGACACAAGGCCAGAGAGCTAGTCGACCATCCTTGGCCCGGGAGTCGCTATAGCCTTGCGAACGTCTTCTCGCTGCAACGATGGCAGCATGTGATGGCGGCAATGCGATTGGATCCAGTCTCGCGGCGACGACGCGGGCACTGGATGCAAGTGCAACTTCATACAAGGTGGCGTCCCACGTATACTTCAACATTGACCACTGCAACCAGGCTGGCGCTTTCAAGCTCCTCGCGCATTGTAGGCCAGAACCAAGTCTCTTCTGCTCCATCCACGAGAAACCAAGGTGTTAAAAATTGATTGCTGCATTCGGAAGTCCTACACGAAGTGTCGTCGGCGCGCTTACCAGCGGTTGCCGAAGCCGCGGCCGCCACCACGGCCGCCGCCACGACCACCGCGGAAGCCGCCGCCGCCGCCAAACGAGCTAATGCCCTCGAGCTCGCGCGGCACTTCCTGGCCCGCCTCGCGCAGAATCTTGATGAGGTCCTGCACCATCTTGCCATTGTCGGCCGTCACGTACGAGACCGCCGTGCCCTTCTGGCCGGCGCGGGCCGTACGACCAATGCGGTGGATGTAGTCTTCAATGTTCTTGGGCATGTCAAAGTTGATGACATAGCGAATGTCCTTGATGTCCAAGCCGCGCGAAGCCACGTCCGTGGCCACGAGGATCTGCGCCTTGCCGGCCTTGAACTCCTTGAGCACCCAATCGCGCTCCTCCTGCGACTTGTCGCCGTGGATCGCACGCGTCACGAAGCGCGTGGCGCGCAAGTTGCGCGTGAGCTCGTCGGCGCCGCGCTTGGTTTCACAAAAGACGATGATCTTGCCGCCGTCCGCAATGTCCTTGAGCAGGTCCGACAAGGCGCCATACTTCTCGTGGTCCGACATGACCTTGACGATCTGCGTGATGTTCTTGTTGGCCGTGAGCTCGAGCGAACCGACGGTGACTTGGATAAAGTCGTGCAAGAAGTCATGGGCGAGCGTCACAATCTCCTTCGGCCACGTCGCCGACCACATGAGCGTCTGGCGATCCGGGCGGATCTGGCTGACAATCTTGCGAAGCTGCGGCTCGAAACCCATGTCGAGCATGCGGTCGGCTTCGTCGAGCACAAGGTACGTGACGCGGCGCAGGTTGGTCTTGTTCTGGCCAAGCAAATCAATCATGCGACCGGGCGTGCTATCGAGAGCATTAGGGACAATGGGTCGACGAGCAACGTTGTACCAAATGCAAATCTCGACACCGCGCGCGAGGTCGTCGCACTGCTGGCGCTTGGGCACACCGCCATAGACGCACGTGTTCTTGATCTTGGAGCTGGCGCCAAACTTGTTGCATTCCTGTTGGATCTGCACGGCGAGCTCGCGCGTCGGCGCAATGACGAGCACAATCGGGCCGTCACCAGGCTGCAAGTAAGGCTAGTTCAAAAGGTTAGAGAATGACACCCACACATGTCCTCGAGGGCCGCAGAATATTGAAGAGGGCGCGAGAGCATTCGCAAGACAGCAGCTCGCGTGGCGACAGCAAAGCGCTGCACCACGGCCGTCGCCGTCATCGAAGACAGTTCTTCCAAGCTTTCGCACACATTGCAGTGCAAGCCGAACCGACCCCGACGCGACGAAGTGTCTCGAGCTCCCGGCGCCCTATCAAGTTGCGTGGTCCTGCACACTTGAGTGGCTCTTCCATGAGAAAGAGCAATACAAACGAGTGCGAGTGGCGAGGAGAGACAACTTACTTGAGCGTTGATGTGGACGATGGCGGGCAGCAAGAAGGCAAGCGTCTTACCCGAGCCCGTGGCCGAGATACCGACCATGTCACGACCGGACAAGGCCATGGGCCAGCCCTGGCTCTGAATCGGCGTCGGCGCCGGGAAACCGAGGCGAACAACTTCGTCGAGGACGTACTCTAGACACTTGCCTGTAAGCGCCTGACTTCAACCCATTTGAAACTGTACGGGGGAACGACGCTTCTTCGAACGACATGACCTGCTTCGGGACACCCTTGCCGTTCACTGTGACTTGGTGCTTGCGGCGCCACTCCTCGAGCTCCGACTCGGATCGGGCGCCGACGTTCGGGTGCTCGTAGTAGAAGTTCTTCTCAAACACGGGCAGCTTCGAGAGATCCCACTGGATGTTCGTGTTCAGGTTCGAGCCGAGGTCGCCCGAGCCGTAGCTGCCGCCGCCGCCAAAGCCACCGCCACCGCCGTAGCTGCCACCGCCGTAGCTAGAGCTGCCACCGCCGTAGCTGGAGCTGCCACCGCCGTAGCTGCCACCGCCACCATAGCTGGAGCTGCCTCCACGGCTGCTGTACGAGCTCTCGCGGCGCGAGGACGAGTCGCCGTAGCGGTCCGAGCCACCGTAGCTGCGCCCGCTGCTGTAGTTGTCGCTGCCGTACATGCTGGTCGAGTCGGAACTTGCGAAATGCTGGCCAACCGCTGGCCGGGAAATTCGAATCCTGTCTTTGGCTTGGTATATACGGTAAATAGTGTATGAGTGGCGACATCATGTGTGGGAGAGGGGCTCGCACCTCCTCGCACCGCCGGAAAGAGTCGAAATAGTGTACGATCAGACGGGTGCACGGCAATTAAATTTTGTAACATTGAATAAAAAACGCTCTGTATTTAATTTAAATGTATGCTGACAACGCATGTCGCATCAATCGGGACATTTTATCGCGTCGCATAATTTCAATTCAAATAATAATATTATTTTAAAGTATACTGTAGTTCTAGAATTGACCGGACGTTTAAACCGTTCAACCTGTTTTGCCTGCGTGGCGTGCAAACGACTAAACGACTATAATGAAATCGACTGAACTCGATACCCACAACCAGCAGGCAGCCCTGGACCTCTACACCCTACTACTGGTACACAGCTACGAGCATCACCGTGACGAAAGCAGTGCGTCATGGCGGCTGCAGGATACGAGCCACCTGCGAAAGTCTCGCGACTCAAAATAACTCTGACAGCATTTTTGGACGAGCCGGGATGCAGCCGACCGCGGAGGATGGGCACGTCGTGGCAGTTCAGCTTGTACGCCTCATCCATGACTCGTCGACCGCGTCACGTAGCTCCTCTAGGCGCAAATGCAGCTCAACGAAGCTACGGCGCCAGGGCTGGCGTGCTGGCAGGAGCGGCAGACTGCGCTCTTGGCACGACACAACGACGACGACACCCCTGCCAATGGTATATATCAAGGTCTGCCCCCGCGCACTGCTTATGCCATTGGGTATAGTCCGCGATGTGCTGCCAATGCACCTCGTTGTGCTGGTGCACGGCAACAACGGCCACCCGACTGACTTTGACGCGGTCGCGGCCGCGCTCGTCGCTCAGTTCCCGCCGGGCTCGATTGCGATTCTGCAAAGCCGCGTCAATATGCGCCAGAAGACGCGCGCAGGCATCGCGCAGTGCGGCCACCGTCTCGCGTTGGAGGTTCTCGACTGGCTCCTCACGTTCCGCGTGAGCGATGCGTCGCCGCGGCGTCTCTCGATGCTCGGGCACTCGTTCGGCGGCCTCTTGCTCGTCATTTTCTGCCCTTTATACAGGACAAACTGAAGGAGAAGGAACTTCAAAGGACTTGGTCGTGACTCTCTGCTCGGCGCGCCATGGTTCGCGCAACAAAGCGGGACCTGCATGGTGGTCGTACGACCTACTTGGCACTCTCGTCTAATTGAAGTAGTCGGATTTCTAGAAC